TTTTATTATTATTCTACAACCAACTCCTGACATTTAGTCAAATAAAGGTCCGATGAAAACCCAGTGCCCAAAATCTAGACTATCATGTATACGTTTCATTATAGCAGAACAAAACACAATTACATAAGCATTTAAATTCACGTTTCCAAGCCACGATGACTCTCGTACAAACAGATACTGTGCACTGCATGGTTTAGCCCCCCAGTAATGGCCCCAAAGGACTCTGGGAAGATGTAGGAATATACAGGACGCCCATCTCTGGAGAAGAGCTTAGTCTCCGACATCGTGGAACGGGACTTTACGTCTCAGCTGAACGCTACGCTCCCATACGCCACAAGGACAGAGCCAGGAGAGCAACCTCGCTGGATATCCATGTCGGGTTCACACACAATACACACATTCATCAGTAAACATCTTTCTTACACCAGGCTGTGGAAGAAGTCTGTATCTTTTTAAGTTTCTTGAAACCTCATGTATCATTAAAGCTATGATTCATTGTGTCTTGATGTTCAGTTTCAGAAGGACTAGCATGAAAGCAATGCAAAATGATCATGAAATAACGTTTTCAGTTTGCTTTAGACTTATTTGTTCTTGAGCCATCAATTTGAATGGATCATTAAGCGTCTGAACGTAGCATAACATTTCCTTTAAAAGTTCTCAGAGCTAAAGCAGAGTTATTTGAAGTAGACGTGCTTTTTCACGTCTCAATTAATGTTTTAAACAATCAATGCGTTGGATGCTTTTCAGACGGCCAACCAGAATAGCACCTATGAGGGCTTCAGCTTGTAAGTACAATCAGACTTAGTTTGAGGTGATAAAACCTCGGGTTCTGGTTTGTTTTTACGACAAATCCACTTCATCACGTCTGTAAGGCTTTGTGTCAATTCATCGGACTTATTATTGACCAAAGGATTAACGAGGTAACAGATGAATTGAAGTGGTTTATGTGATCTGAATATACGGACATATCTACTTGGACTCACTTTGTGTTCCACGTTGTTCTGCTGAGCTTTGTCCAGGTGGATCTTGATGAGCCGACTGCAGTCCTGCTTCACTCTGATCCTCTTTCCAACGATCTCGCTGGGGAACACCAGGTCCTCCAAGATGGCATCGTGGACCGCGGTCAAGGTGCGGCTGAGGGGGAACGAAGGAAAGATTCAAGTTAAATACCCAACTCTCCTGCAGGATGTATAATCAGCCCGGAGATCTCTGAATAGAAAGACATATTGGGTTCTATACGAGTCTATCACCCCCCACATTCACTTCTACTATCCTCTATGTTATATTTACTGATGATTAACATCAGTGGACATTTAATATGTTAAGTGTTGGACTCTTGGCAGAACTAAAAACATCAAGGCTCAAGGTTATATGAAGACATAACCTCAGGATTTAAGAATTTAGTTTGTCATTTATCTGCATTTTCCAATCCGTAAAATAACTGGCAGATGAAATAAATATAACTAAGTGGCAAACTTACAGTAACATACTTTCATAATTTGACATTAAATACTGTCAGAACTAACACATGTCCAATATTAAAAGCAAAAATGTAGACTATGTATACGTTTCATGATAGCAGACTAAACACATTCCACAGGCATTTAGATTCACGTTTCCAAGCCACGATGACTCTCGTACAAACAGATACTGTGCACTGCATGGTTTAGCCCCCCAGTAATGGCCCCAAAGGACTCTGGGAAGATGTAGGAATATACAGGACGCCCATCTCTGGAGAAGAGCTTAGTCTCCGACATCGTGGAACGGGACTTTACGTCTCAGCTGAACGCTACGCTCCCATACGCCACAAGGACAGAGCCAGGAGAGCAACCTCGCTGGATATCCATGTCGGGTTCACACACAATACACACATTCATCATCAGTAGACATCTTTCTTACACCAGGCTGTGGAAGAGGTCCGTTTGTATATTTTAAAGTTTATTTAAAGCTATGACTCATTGTGTCTTGATCAGCTTTAAAAGTAGTATCAAGAAAGCAAAGCAACATTACAAAACAAGTTCAAACTGAAGACTCATTTCTGTCAAATCTTGTTGAGCCATTCATTTGGTTAGATTATAAAATGCCAGAAGTTTGCAAATCTGACTCGAGACTTCATCTAAAGTGCACTTTTTAGTTGTGATGAGTTACAGAAATCCTAAGGATGTTGAGTATATAAAACAATACCATAACATATCCACACCACAGAGGCTGGAACCTGTGGCATAAAAATGGCTTCAATGATCAGGTTTGACACGTTTGGATTTAATGAATAACTTCAACATGAAGCTATTTTGCTAATTGATTGAAACAATTTCCTAGTTTTCATTGTAATAAGGAGTTACGGTGGTGTCTCAGAGTAAAGACTAGAAGAGTGATATTAAATAAATACCAATAGTTTCCTGGATAATCCAAGCAACTAAACAAACCTGATTATTCCCACGCTCAGGGTAAATCTGAGCTGGTGTTTTATTATACATGTCTCACCTCCTGGGACGCTTCTGCTTGTTCTTTGTGCGACTTTTCCTGGTGGGTTTGGGCAGAATTCTCCTCTGAAAAACAACATCGTGTCATTAACCTCCAATCAGGATCCACACACACATTTAAACAGCTTCAAATTCAATTCATTCAAGAACGTCATGAATCAGGGTCAGACTGATATTCGGGCGCAGTATTGGATATAACCTGCTGAAAGTCTTTTTCCTCCTAGCCTTACTCGACAGCTTCAGAGTCGAAAACGTGCTTCTTTCTGCATTAAACAAAACATTTCAATAGAAAATGTCAATACTTATAAATGAAGTTTTGACAGTCACCAATTTCTAGCTATTGACTTTAAATCAAAATGTGTCTTTGCATGCCCATATCAGTCGAACCCTAACACATCAGATACTGTGCACTGCATGGTTTAGCCCCCCAGTAATGGCCCCAAAGGACTCTGGGAAGATGTAGGAATATACAGGACGCCCATCTCTGGAGAAGAGCTTAGTCTCCGACATCGTGGAACGGGACTTTACGTCTCAGCTGAACGCTACGCTCCCATACGCCACAAGGACAGAGCCAGGAGAGCAACCTCGCTGGATATCCATGTCGGGTTCACACACATTCAACATCATCATATGTAAACATCTTTCTTACACCAGGTTGTGGAAGAGGTCTGTTTGTATATTTTAAAGTTTATTTAAAAGGAAATCTGACTGCTGCATGAGGTGAAAAGTCATGCCTCTCCAAAATGTTGGTTTTCAAACACTTGGTGACATTATTTAGAATCATTCTGGATACATTTCTCAGACCAACTTAAATCAAACATGTGAAGATGCATTTTTGTTATACATCTAAGTGTAGTACAATTAAACAATTACCAGAGAAGGTTCATATTTTGATGCACCTGATCATATTATAAAAAGGTATTATCCAGATAAGGGATGCTGTAGTTAACGCTATAATACGACTCAGCAGACACTATGGATGTCACAACCAGAAATGTAGGAGTCATAAAGTCAGTCAGTATAAAGAATTCAATATTGGAGTAAAAGAAGGAATTCTATTGTTAAAAAAATCAGTTTTAAATATGAATAATAAGCTGGTTGTGATGCATTCACTCCGCAGACCTTATGAGGGGTCACCAGTCTTAAAAAAGTCAAACATGTATTGAACCGGGAAAGACCTCCTCCACAACCCGGCAGTATCCATCCATGATGATAAACTCAGGCAGACATCTCCCTCCTGCTCACCTGTGCAATGAAGACAACGTGCTTCCCGCTGAACTTCTTCTCGAGCTCCCTCACCAGACGCACCTGGATCTTCTGGAAGGACTTCAGCTGAGGAACGGGAACGAAGATGATGATGGCTTTCCGACTGCCACCCACCTCGATTTCCTAGAGACAAAACCAACACACTTAATGACAGAAGAAAACAAACGATGAACCCTGATCATTTAAAAACACAAAAGCCACTGACTGGTGAAGAGACATTACTTTCTACAGGTGGAAAGGAACATTTATTCGTCTTATAGTTCGCTGATAAAGTGAAGAAATCCCACTGTTCGCACCAGATTAATGCTAGCGTGCTCATGACAGTAAACATTAGTTAAGCCCTGGTGTAAAATAATGTGCTCTGCGTGGTTTCCCATCATAGCAACAGCCACTCAAAGTGTCTTGGAAGGTAATTGACATCTTTATCAATACATATAATGACTGGCAGATCAAAGCAAACTTAGTGAAAGTTGCCTTAAAAAGTGACCTAAGATTTCCATTGACATATCTGCGCTGTAGCTTCGTACAAATGAGAATAAAAGCCTTGAATTGAATCAAGAAGTTTGCCAGTTAGCTTCACAATGTACACCCGTCTAAAACCAAAATGACGTTTCTTTACGCTAGACAGAACACAAAAGCATTTAGATTCACGTTTCCAAGCCACGATGACTCTCGTACAAACAGATACTGTGCACTGCATGGTTTAGCCCCCCAGTAATGGCCCCAAAGGACTCTGGGAAGATGTAGGAATATACAGGACGCCCATCTCTGGAGAAGAGCTTTGTCTCCGACATCGTGGAACGGGACTTTACGTCTCAGCTGAACGCTACGCTCCCATACGCCACAAGGACAGAGCCAGGAGAGCAACCTCGCTGGATATCCATGTCGGGTTGTTATTTAAAAAATATTTGAAAGTGAGAGGATGAGTAGAACTGTCCCTCTACCTTTGCTGCAGTGATGTTCAGCTCTCGCAGCTGAGCCTTGAGGTCGGAGTTCATCTCCAGCTCGAGCAGAGCCTGCAAGGAGAAACAAGACAAATCAGCCTATAGTTTTATATAAATGCAACTTCCTGACACATGTCCAAGCACAGCCATTACACCTCATAACGGGACATAATCTGGCAGTTTCTATACAGTTCATATTTCTGTTTACATGCAGAGAATAACCTGATTTCTGATCCACGACACTGACAAGTATTAACCACAGATAATCACCTATCAAAAACAAAATTCACACATTCCTTCTGGCATCCAATGTGCACTGCATGGTTTAGCCCCCCAGTAATGGCCCCAAAGGACTCTGGGAAGATGTAGGAATATACAGGACGCCCATCTCTGGAGAAGAGCTTAATCTCCGACATCGTGGAACGGGACTTTACGTCTCAGCTGAACGCTACGCTCCCATACGCCACAAGGACAGAGCCAGGAGAGCAACCTCGCTGGATATCCATGTCGGGTTCACACACAATACACACATTCATCCTCATCATATGTAAACATCTTTCTCATACCAGGTTGTGGAAGAGGTCTGTTTTTATCTTTTAAAGTTTATTTAAAAGGAAATCTGTTGAACAAATCCAAGACTCAAACTTCTGCATCTTAAAAAAATACTTCAAAATGACACCATATTTTATAGTAGGAAGCAGCATCACCAGCAATGAGGTAGTGTGTGTTTCAGGGCAACACTGAAAGCCATATCTATTGGATTCAAGATCTGACAGAGTCTCATCAAAGCTTCTCACCACACACACACAACATTCAGAGTGTCAAACTCAAACATATAAACACATGATTTAATGTGAAACCTGGTCTTCTTACCTGGGAGATCCCAGACTCGAACTCGTCAGGCTTTTCGCCATTAGGCTTAACTATTTTGGCGCTGGTACTGAACATGGCCGTTGTTTCTGTGGAGGTAAATACAAACATGAAAGGTTAGATAAGCATCAACGGCATCTCAACACACTTATGCTATCGTGGTGGAGCTCCATCAAACTAGCATGCATTTAGGCTAGGCTATGACTAGCTTAATGATAATTGAGTACAGCCGGCTAAGTCAGAACCATAAGCCATATTTGAACTTAAATTGTGATACTTTCAACATTAACCCCCAACAATTCAAACAGCCACAAAGTAAGCTAGACTCTGTGTTACAAACAAACAGCATGTTAGCCACAAGCTAGCTCTGAGGAAGGTTGCATGTTTCAACCGCCATGTACCTCTGATACAACCGAGCTGGAGTGGTTAACGTGGCAAACGGAAGTATTTCGTCTTATTTCACACAAAACTAAACATACATAGAGCCTTGAATATCGAGTCTACTGCATTTACCGGGGAAACATTCCTTCTTTCTGGACACATGCACGGCCTGCTAAGCTAACTTCTGCCTCAGAACTCCCATCATACGGAGCTCCTCTACTACGCTTTATTCTGTCATATAAAACAGCCATCCGCATCCCAAAACGACATCATCTAACGTATCAGAGCCTTAAGGTGCCTTACGAAGTGTTTACGCAACAATAAAACAACATTAAAGCACATTTTAGGATAGAAAAGCCAGTCCTGGCAAGAGTGGCACGACTAACCTGTGTCAACGACGGCCAAGGAAGAGGCCGGAACATCGCGAGAGTTGTATTAATCCAATCCGGAGGGGTATTTACCCATCGCGAGATTTGACGCAGACCACGTTTCCAGTGCTGAGAGAACATCGCGAGAGTTGTATTTTATTAATTTTTTTATTATATTCAACTTTATTGAACGTTGCATTCGCGGGAGTTGACACAGACCACGAATCCAGTGATAGTAAAACATCGCGAGAGTTATTTAACAAACGTTTAATTTGAATTGTGAAACTGTATTTTTCTTTATTTATATGTCTACCCCTGATGTGAACTTTGTTGTATACAAAACATATGATGTCAATATGCTCTTGAATAAATAAATAAATATGTGACGGGAAAAAAAACTACCTTAAAAAAACCCGCCCAAAACATCGCGAGAGTTCGGCGAGAAAACAGACTGTCAAGCTTTCCTAACATTACTTTTGATTTTCCTTTCTATGTTGCTTTACTTCGGACTTTCAAGACTACGACAGAGGTTAAACTACTATCAAATTGACTAAAAATACTTTGTTAGAGTCTGTGGGTATTTTTGTGACAATAACAGTGAGCAAACTGTTGCTCACTGTTAGCAAACCAGCTAATGATAAGGATATTAGCTGGTTTTAGTCTATGGTTTTAGCATCCTTTTCTGGCTGTGGAAGTACACAGGGACCAGTCAGCTTTCTTTATAAATGATTATGTAATTAGTTAAAGACACCATGATGGCCTCCCCAGCTGCGTTATGTTCAGACTGACTGGTGTTTTCAGAGCATTACGCAGGACTATCTGCAGTGGGGCCGACGACATGCCGAAGGGCAAGTTTTACTTTGCTGTGAGGAAAGGCTTCAAACCAGGAGTGTACAGCACATGGTGAGACTGTGTGTATGTATTACCGTCAGAAAATACTGTCTGTTTTGAAGAAAATAACTGTCATTGATCCTGGACAGTAGGTGCAAACCAAACTCCATTTAAAAAAACAACTGGTGATTTAATGTGTTTTTAATCTTCTGTTAAACAGCACACGTGCTAAAAAGGTCATTTTGAATGGTTTTGTAATCACAGCAAACCATTTTTCAATTCGGCTTATGAACAATTCGGCTAAGAAACCATACAAACTGTCATTGATCTTGCAAAGTGGGAGAGGAGGTACACACCAAACTCCATTCAGAAATCTGGTGATTTAATGTGTGTTTGATCTTCTGTTAAACAACACACCTGCTAGAAAGTTCCATTTAAAGGGTTTTGGAAACGCAACAAACCTTTCTTCAATTCAGCTTAGGAACAATACAAGTTAAAAGTAACATATACTTATTCCCAGTATAAAATACCTATATTCTGAAGAGTATCTAAGAGTCTGTTATACAGAACAGATGTGAATACTCTCTAATATACCAATCTACTAAAGGGACAGTATAAACATGGTGTACTACATACATTAACAGGTTGTGCATAGTAGCTTTTAATTAATGGATGTTTTTCTCATTTGTGTTTTTTTTTGTAACTGTTATTCAGGGATGAATGTAAGGGCCAGGTGGACAAATTCCCCGCCGCCTGTTTCAAGAAGTTTGCATCAGAGAAAGATGCCTGGGCGTTCTTCAGAGGAGTCGACCCCTCTCCAGTTCCACAGGTGAAGAAAGGTAAGCTAATATATCAAACCTGTTTTTACTTCCAACTATCTTCCCCAACAGTTTATGAGCAGATGTTCACTTCTCCATGTCTCTTCTACATCAACATGTGTCCCCTCTTCTTCATGTCTCTTCTACATCAACATGTGTCCCCTCTTCTTCATGTCTCTTCTACATCAACATGTGTCCCCTCTTCTTCATGTCTCTTCTACATCAACATGTGTCCCCTCTTCTTCATGTCTCTTCTACATCAACATGTGTCCCCTCTTCTTCATGTCTCTTCTACATCAACATGTGTCCCCTCTTCTTCATGTCTCTTCTACATCAACATGTGTCCCCTCTTCTTCATGTCTCTTCTACATCAACATGTGTCCCTCTTCTCCATGTCTCTTCTACATCAACATGTGTCCCCTCTTCTTCATGTCTCTTCTTCATCAACATGTGTCCCCTCTTCTCCATGTCTCTTCTTCATCAACATGTGTCCCCTCTTCTTCATGTCTCTTCTACATCAACATGTGTCCCCTCTTCTCCATGTCTCTTCTACATCAACATGTGTCCCCTCTTCTTCATGTCTCTTCTACATCAACATGTGTCCCCTCTTCTTCATGTCTCTTCTTCATCAACATGTGTCCCCTCTTCTCCATGTCTCTTCTACATCAACATGTGTCCCCTCTTCTTCATGTCTCTTCTTCATCAACATGTGTCCCCTCTTCTTCATGTCTCTTCTACATCACATGTGTCCCCTCTTCTTCATGTCTCTTCTACATCAACATGTGTCCCCTCTTCTTCATGTCTCTTCTTCATCACATGTGTCCCCTCTTCTTCATGTCTCTTCTTCATCAACATGTGTCCCCTCTTCTCCATGTCTCTTCTACATCAAACATGTGTCCCCTCTTCTTCATGTCTCTTCTTCATCAACATGTGTCCCCTCTTCTCCATGTCTCTTCTACATCAACATGTGTCCCCTCTTCTTCATGTCTCTTCTACATCAACATGTGTCCCCTCTTCTTCATGTCTCTTCTACATCAACATGTGTCCCCTCTTCCTCATGTCTCTTCTACATCAACATGTGTCCCCTCTTCTTCATGTCTCTTCTTCATCAACATGTGTCCCCTCTTCTCCATGTCTCTTCTACATCAACATGTGTCCCCTCTTCTTCATGTCTCTTCTACATCAACATGTGTCCCCTCTGTGGAAAGAGACTCTGAAAGTTTCAGGAACAAAGATTCTCTCTCTTTTTGATCCATTTCTATAAAAACCTGTCTGAAAATGAGCTGATCAGATTTTGGCCACTTTATGATGTCATAACGATGTTTTGTCTTGTGTAACCATTAGCCAATCAGCAACCAAGGTAACCCCCCCCCCTCCTTATCACCTGAATCTCCTCTAGAGCACCATTGAGTTCTTTGTCACCAAATGTCTCTCAGAGGGGCGTGGGGAGGGGCTCCTTATTTTCATCTAAAGTAACAGACAGAGAATCAGCACTTTGGAAACAGGGCTGAAACAGAGGGGATTATGGGTAATGCTGCAATGATCTGTTTGGTGTTTCAGCCAATCAGAGACAGGTTCTGGATTTATCTGAGACCTGGGGCCCTTCTCACTTCGGTTAAATGGATTCCTTGCGTCCCTCACTTGCGTCGTTTCCCTGCGTCTAGTCCCTCCCACCAAGGAAGCAATGGAGAGACGCAAGGAAACCACGAGAAGCAGGGAAATGAGTTTTAAGAGCAATGGGACGTCCTTTCCTCCGGAGCGTTCACGTGAAGCGACGTCCGTTTGTGATGACGCTGCACAGCTGATCGTCTGACAGCAGCTCTGTCCCCGTTATTTTCACACACCCCCCCGCCACACATTTACTGACACAAACATTTGTATCATCTGTTGTAGATCCAATTACATGAAATAAAATAAGAACTCATTCTCAAAAAAGATAAACGCCATTCTTAAAATGTATAAACGAAAAAAGCGATCATGAAAATGTTTCCATAAAATGATTTTTGACCACTTTGTTGTTCAGATATATCTCATATTTGTAACTAAATGAAACATGAATTGAAACAAAACACGGTATAAACTGAGGAGTGAGTCCCGTGAGGTTCATGTGTTTTCTTCACTCCGCTGGGAAACTGCTCTCATGTCAAGAAGCATCAGATCAGTGCATGCACTGCCTCGTCCAATCAGTGAGCGATACACAGTAAGGGGGCGGGGCGAGTGTCTGAGGATTTCATCGGAGGATGGTCTGATGGTTCCTCGGTTATCGCTCCTCGCTCCTCCGGCAGAAATAAGGCCATTGGGACGCTACTCAAGATGGCGCAGACAGATCAACTTCCGGTGAGACCGAGGAGCGAGGAAATGAAAAATAAGAGAAGTGAGAAGGGCCCTGGAATATATTGATGGAAAACAGTAAAATAGGGGACCTTTTTAAATATCCAATAAACCCATGCATAGTGTAAAGCTCAGGATCAGGGCTATATATATCCATACAGTCACCAAAACAAGTCGGGGTAGTCCATTTGAAATGGCATTTTGCCAGTTGTTCTCCTCACAATTAGTCCTATTGCTTCCAGTTCCTCAGAGCCTGGACTCGGCCCTCTCTCTGCTCCCTAAAAGAGGTCCGGAGCCTCGGGAGTACATCGCTCTCGGGAAGAAGAGAAGTCACTCGGCCGAGGACGCACAGACACGTCCCAAACGCGTAAAACCGTCAGAAGGCTCGTCTTCAGTCAGCTCTGACGGATTCACATACAAGGGTGAGCATCTCTAGAATGAGATAAATGTGAAGTCTAAATCGAGACACCTTTTGTCCGACTTGAATTGAAATATAAGATAAAAAGAACTTTATTGATCCCACTTTGGGAAATGTTTGTTGCAGCAGCATAAAAACACATGGCATTGTACAATACAAATTAAAAGACTAAAAATAACCAAAAAAGTAGAACATATACATGTTGAATTACAAATTTACAGTAACAAAATATAAAGCAAGTGTATATAAGCATTTTTTGATTTTAAAACATGTGTATATCACCTGTTAACATGTTCTTTGACTCCTAGGTCACGTGTTCTGCTCTGTCAAAGTTAGAGTTGAATAAAAGCTGAACTCCTGAACCTCACGCTCTGTCTTCCCCTCACGCTCTGTCTTCCCTTCACGCTCTGTCTTCCCCTCACGCTCTGTCTTCCCCTCACGCTCTGTCTTCCCCTCACGCTCCTGTCTTCCCCTCACGCTCTGTCTTCCCCTTCACGCTCTGTCTTCCCTTCACGCTCTGTCTTCCCTTCACGCTCTGTCTTCCCCTCACGCTCTGTCTTCCCCTCACGCTCTGTCTTCCCATCACGCTCTGTCTTCCCTTCACGCTCTGTCTTCCCCTCACGCTCTGTCTTCCTTCCTCACGCTCTGTCTTCCTCACGCTCTGTCTTCCCCTCACGCTCTGTCTTCCCTCACGCTCTGTCTTCCCTTCACGCTCTGTCTTCCCCTCACGCTCTGTCTTCCCCTCACGCTCTGTCTTCCCCTCACGCTCTGTCTTCCCCTCACGCTCTGTCTTCCCCTCACGCTCTGTCTTCCCTTCACGCTCTGTCTTCCCCTCACGCTCTGTCTTCCCCTCACGCTCTGTCTTCCCTTCACGCAGGGCGATGCTGTTGTTGTTTACACCGACGGCGGCTGCACAAGAAACGGACAGAAAGGAGCAAAAGCTGGCATCGGAGTTTACTGGGGCCCCAACCACCCACTGTGAGAACACACACACACACACACACACACACACACACACACACACACACACACACACACACACACACAACACGAACACAAAAACAAACACAAAACAAACAACACAACACAACACACCACACACAAAACACAAAACCAAACACACACACACACA